TAGAGATATACTTGTTGATAATATCGAACCTCTAAAATTACATAGAATATGGTACTTAGTGTATCAAAAATTCTTGATTGAGTTTTGTGTGCCCATAGATGAACAAGTTTGAGTTTATATGTAATCTAATGTTGAGATTACGAGATAATGATGTGTATGCAGGTACAAAGTATGTTGAACAGGTTGAGATGGATTCACTCACATGAAATCATGAACAAACACCTTAGACACTTTAGGATTTGCTGAGATGAGACAAAGTGATTATGTTGTGTACATTATTCAATGAGATATCAAGATGAGATTTCATTAAGTAATCGAAATAAATTTTGCTATCCATTAAGCCTGTTTAATAGCCAGATCGAGCTCAAGATTTGAGATTGCTTGGAATACCTAATCTAAGATCTGTACCATATTATTTCTTTGTAAAAAATATGAAATATGCCCTAACAGATGGGGAAAAAAATATCATAGCACATATTTCATACCATGTGTTCTTTTAAGATCAATATTGGGTAAATGAGTTAATAGATCTCTGCTGTTTATATAACCTGATGTATACCCTTATGACTTTTGACTGTTTTTGAGATTTTATTTTAATGTTGCTACTTTAGAGTGTTACCAATGACTAGATTAATTCGGTTTATGGGACATATCTAGGAAGTTGAAGGATTTTAGTAAGAAATGAACTAATTTTACCAATATTTATATTTATATTCACTGGACAATTGTGTTTAACCATTTAAGGTATAGAATACAACTGTAATTACAATGATATGATGTGGGGTTCAAATATGTTCCATAAATATTCGAAGGATCGGAAATACTTGAATTAATATTTGAAAGTATGTTTGGAGTATAATGAGATGTGATGTTCCTCTAATAAAGCTACTATATATCACTAACAGGTTTATAGTACTATGAGCTCTAATATTATTCGATGGTCTTAAGATCTATTTGCTCTATAAATTTTTGTAAGGTAGATCTTGAGAAGGATTTAAGGGGTGATATTCATTTTCACTTGTGGTTCAAATTAACTCCATCATGTGCGAGGGGGAAATATTGAAAAATACAGGTCATGGGCCATCCATTTGTTTGTGACCCGGCCTACAACTTATTAAAGTGAATTGGAAGGAGTGGTATGAATAGAATTCAAACCCATAACTTCTCTCAACTCCCATCCACTTCCCTAATCTTGAAATAACTCCCGTCACTTGAAATTGCATGATGAGAGAGAAATTATGGCAATAAAATATGGTGAAATACATATGCGAAAATACAACAGAATTGGAAAGGCCCTAAAATCAATATTTTGACATGAAAACCACAAAATAAGGCACTGAAATTATGGATAATAACCCCATTCCATTGTGTTTAGGATTGGGATCATTAGAGAACAAGAAAATGCAAATTTTGATGCTTGGAAAAGCGAGGAGATTCAGCCATTCAAAAGATGTTATAATTCACCAATTCAAGTAAAGACTCTTAATCCAGAATTTATGATTATGCACGTTGAATATTGTTTCCTCTCATACTTTACTGAGCTCTAGAAGAGAAGTCTCAACAAAAAGCTGTCCCAAACTCAATTAATTTTATGTACTAAATTAAGTTTCTCTCGTTAAGACAATATTTGCTACCATCAGTATTATACAATAAGATTCCGGATAACAACTCTCATTAGAGCTTAGAACTCTGGTACTTTGTTAATGCACTTCCGAATAAAATTTCAACAACCTAATCGTCACAAGCCTTTCTAGATCAACAAGCTAAAGATAGATGTGGTGCATACGAGTTGTTGAAACAGAAGGTTAGCCTCTTGATATACGAATATATAATGATCTTCTTATTCCCAAATTGCACAAGATATATACCTGTGTTAAGCACTGCAAGTATGTTTACTTGATCACTGCTATTTCAAGTTTCCCAATACACAGTATACATGTCTACATTAATATAGACATTCAATCTTAACTATACACATTTAGTATATGTTTGGCATGCAATACTAGACACGACTAAATATCATAATAAAATTTTAGCTTCTCTTCTCCCATATAATGTTCAGTGCTATCAAACCTTCCTTACCTAACATGAGGGATTACCTATAAGAAAGTCCGAAAGACAATTGTATGCACACAGTTTAAATGTAGAAATAGAAGTCCGGAAGCAGTGGAAAGCCCCAAAATATTATCTTCGTCTAACTACATGGCCAGAATTCCTTCCAGTTAAGTTATTTTTGTTTTCGAGAAATTCTACGAGGAATTTCTTAAACTTCTTTAACTTATGAGTAGAATTCGTAGTTCTTCGCCTTCACAATAATCTGCCTTAATCCTCCAATAGAGGCTACAATCATCAAAATAACTCCAAGAACAATGCAAATCTGAAATCCATATTGAGAAGAATCAGTAAGGTTTCTTGTTTTCAAAGCAAAAACTCTTCACACTTACCCAGTTAGTAAACCAGGATAGACTGAATTTCCTTGGTTTGTAAATAGCTAGCCAAATGATACAAGGAAGCTGCAAGAATGTGAAAAACAGATGGTACATTCAGCTTTAAAATACATATTACGTGTGACATATTTGATACATTGGGGTTCAACCTTTTTTACATTGGGTATATTTAACTAGATAAAACAACTGACAAAGTTTGACTTATGACTCTTTTTTTAATCTGCTTAGTCCAAACCCATCATATCAAAGATGCCTTTGAAATCATCTTAGGCATGCTAGAGTACATTATAGCACAAGATTATAGAATAAAGCTCCTTAAGATCTTATTTGTTATCTTGTTCCAGAGGGTATATTTACTCACAAAGTAAGTAGTTGAGGCAAAAGCAAATCCACCAAAAAACCCGAGAAGCCCACCGAAGAAAGGTAAGGTAATTCCAATGAACATAGTAAATGCTGCAATCAATTAGGAGCGCGTACACTTGTGAGGAACATGATGATATAATAGAAACACAGAACAGTATAATGCAGGATTCATAGAAACAAATGTTTACATACCAACGTAAATATTCCTCGAAATAGATCGTAACATCCAACTAGGCTTGAATTTCAGTATTTTTACGAGTAAATATTCTATCATATCGAAAACTGGCATTGTATAAATCTGAAACAAAAGAAATTAAAAAGAAAAAAAATTAATTTTTTGAGAATGATTAAATCACTGAAGGAAAAAAAGTCAGATGTCTACCTGGTAGCTCCCAATGAGATGAACGACAACAAACAGGTTAGCCATGGCAATTAACCACCAGGGCTTTTCTAAGGACTTAAAAATGTTCTCATCGACCTTATTCCCAAAAATCCAATACCCGATAAGAGCCACAGGGAAGTAGCAGATTGCAACGGCTACATAAGCTGCAATCACCCCTTTCCACATAGGTCCTTTAGATGGTTTCTCTGGTGTAGAAGGCATTGTAGCTTGAATCTCCAAGACCACATTATGACCAGCATAAGCAAAAGCAATGCTACCCAAGGAATTGAAGAAGTTGAAAACAGTTCCTGCTGTGGTTTTAGATTTATAGCCGTATTGCACGTCTGGTTTTACGCCCCTGTTCAGTGATGCCCCCCAAGCAATAGTTGAGTAACTTCATGTCATAGCATCATTGTATTAGGATTCCGTCGTTTATATCAGATGATCATAACAAACTTATATGTCAAACAGATTCACAATAAATAATCATCAAATGCAATTGAAGAACATAAAATAAAGCAAGGGAGAAAGGCGTTTTCTGAGTTGGATTTCATGAAACTTTAATCTTATGAGGTTAAAGATTGTAATAAAAATCTTGTATCAGTGATTGGATTTCATGAAACTAGAGATTTATGTCCATTTTTCTATGTTGAATAATATATTGTAACTCGCTCTTTTAGTGATAATTAATATACCATTTTCAAGAGGAACCGATAAAAATGATGTGAAGAAATGAAACATAATTCACAGGCAAAAAGGTTGCCGTCTACCTCAAGGACATGACAGCTGCAGCCAAAGACACTCCAGAGATGGAATCGAAGTTCGGAAGATGAGACAACACAAATTGAACAGAGGCGAAGATCATGATAAAATAGGTTAGCTTAATCTCCTTGCAATGTTCGCACACTAATTGATGAAACCTCTGCAAAGAACTTCCTCCTGTAACCATGTAAACTATGCCTACACCAACTTCAACAACTAGCTGTAAAGGTATTACAATGTAAAGACCAAGTTTTTCACCGAATGCGTGTTGTCCAAGTTCATGGTATCTGTCGAAACGTTTCCCAAGAACCATTTCATGCATTTCAACCATTTGCCATAGAGTGTATAAAGTGATAATCCAAGACATTACGAGTACACCCACTCCAGGGCCCCTGAAAATATGAAAAAATATTCAGT